CTCCTTTCCTAAGTTAAAATGAATTTTAGTCAGTGAAATCAGCTGTAACACACTACAGCGCTTACAAATACTTCATAGCCACAGTGAGAGAAAACTGCCATAAGACAAGAAGCAGAAAAATTTCCATGCTTGCAGGGAATAATTTTAAGAATATCTTGAGTAATAAGCTACTGAGCTGATTCTTAAGCATTTTAGATGAGGTTTTTTTCCCCTGATAAACAGATCTGTGTGTGTACCCCTTGTGAAATAAATAAGTTGCAATGAAGACATAACTAAAATTATCTAGAAATTTACCACTGGGGCAGTAACAGGACAGTTTATTGCAAGGAGTCATATCAAGAGTCACAAGAATGAAAGAGGAACATCTGCAACAAAGAACTGCTTCATTGTTTTGCCCTGCAAATATGCTTCAGTCCTAAGCAAGGGACCATTTCTAGGTAGCCAGGGTTGGGGGTTGGCTTTCCAACATGCATTAAATGCTTGGCTTCTCTGCTGTATGTGCAGAGGGACTTAGACACACATCCACTAGGAATGTGACTGAAGCTTACTAGATAATAGGCCAAACAGCAATCCAACAACAAATTAGAGCACTAGAGTATTGATTTGGAATCAAGACGCTATCACTAAGGGAGACCTGTATGTCAGACTCTAAGATTTGTCACAGGGTTAAGTTCACAGCTTACTGCTTCCATTGTTACAGTGAGGCCCTCTCGGAAAGAAAAGAAAAAGCATTCTATAAGAACCTCCTTCATTATCAGTTGCTACTTACATTTCTGCGCTCCATTGAAGAGAGCTCGGTCTTTTGGGGTGTCACCAACTTCAATTATCTTGGCACCAGCCAGCAGCTGCATGATGAGCCCAGAAGTGACAATGGGTGAAATACCTAGCTCCATCAATGTACCTGTCATATGCAGAAAGTGGAATGAAACAGAATCAATTCAGTCCAGCCATGTCCATGGCAAAAACTGATAGGCTTACCTCACCAGGGTGAACTAATATGACACAGCATTAAAAATAATACTTTTTACTTTATAAAAATTATAAAGTCTAAGTAAGTTTAAAAATAAAAGCTTTCAATGGAAATTGAAGCTTGATGAAAATCAGTTTAAACCATGTATCATAGCATCACTCCTCAGAGCTTTTAGAATCATAAGATCAATCCTTTTTCAACAGGTATGCCAGGTTTAGATGATATAAAGCTTCTTTCACTTTTTTTTTTTTTTTTAACAAAAGGACATTCAAAGGAGTTCTGAGGACAGAAATGAGCAACTGTACAAATGTTCCAAAATTATATGGTAGTCTCTTCCCTTCCTATTGCGCTATAGTTAACAGATATTGAAAACTGATGTTATATACTTGTGCGCGCACGCGCACGCACACGGACTGGTATCAAAGTATATTGAAGCGACTATACTTCACATGATTTGTATCAGCATTAAAAAAAAAAAATCTTCAGTGAACAACCAGCCAGACTACAAACACTAATGATTTTTCTGTCCTGTGATTCACTCAAAGGCATCACTAAAACAAAACTAAAAAGCTATCATATAGCTGGGAAACTGCATTCAAATGCACTGTCCTTGCTGCAGAATTTAGACCCATCTCATTCCCCTCTTGTTTTCAAAGGCTATTTGGCTACACTGTAGATATTTGCAATGGAAGACATATGCCCATCCATATATGGAATTTTTGATGCTGTTTATGCCAGCTCTAATCCCCAAATGTGTTTGCTTTATGTTTTACCTGTGTTTATTGCTTTAATTCAGATATTAAACATCATTAATAAAAACCTGCAAACCAAGATAAGCCCCAAATGTTCAATGGAGCCAAATTATGTAGCAACTGGAAATACAACAAAATCATGCACTAGGAAGTGAGAAATTTCCACAAGAAGTGGGATCATACCTCTATTTGAAGCCAGAATTACTCTCATCCAGTAGAAAGGATCCGCTGAGTCTGATGACATGATACCAAACAAGGGAATCTGAATGTCCATGCAATGAAAGGGAAGTGAGGTTAAATAAAATTACGGACTTGGTTTCCCTTATTTTAAGGAAGGGTTGAAGGACTGTTACACACATACCTGGCAGCATACTAAGAAGATGAAAAGAGTGATAGCTGTCCATAGCACTTTTTCTTTAAACTGAATCTAAAGCAAGAGAGATAAAAGGGAGAATTATACTGAGTAAGCTGTCATTGTCAATGTCTGATCTATTAAGCCAGTTAAGTAAACTCTGATAGCAGTCTGAGCTCATTCTACTTTTCCACCCTTTACAAGATAAGTAAATATAGGCTCCTTGAAGAAAATTGCCAATCCCCCTTTCATCCCTTTGATACTGTATAGAGGTTTAAAAGAAAGTGCCAAATCTTTACTTAAACTTCTATTCAATTAAACAAGCTTATGTAAACAATAAGGTAATTCCAGTGTTTTTACTGATATTGATACTTATAATTTAATATCCTAAAGAAAAAGAGCTTTTAGCACCAAACTAAGATTATTGTTTGAATTAGCTGCATTTCAGAGAAAGAGATAATTTTAAGTTTAATTTTTAGGTACACAAGTTCATATTTCTCACATGCACAGCCATTAGCTTATGCCTTATCTAAAAAGTTGACTGTTTTAGCTATATTTACTGAAACAATTGCTCATCACAGTACTTTTAGCATACATGCAGTTATGCACCAGTACATAAAGGTACCTTTTTATCAATACCATTATACTCACAGCTGCAAGGGTAGTACTACTATAACTATTTCAGTTAAAAATAATCACGCTGCTGACCACTACAGTCACGTCAGTTCAAAACCTGTATCAGCTAGGCCTTATACATCTTATCTTTCACAAATAAAGAACGATGAAGGACACTTTCAATAACATACCTTCCTTTCTGGCTTTTGGATTTCAGGCAAGATAACACAGAAGGGCTTGATTACTTCCAGAAATTTTACTGCAAAACAAAAAGTTAAAAAGGCAAATGAAACACAGGTATGAAATTGATAGCAAATTTGATTACTAGGCACTGAAACTTGGTAAAACACAATCTGAAAAGTTAGTTTTTACAAGTCTTCAGGATTCCAATTGTGGGCTTAGGGCTCTCACACCCTAACCCCACATGGATAACTGCACTGACAAGAATGAGAACCAGGGGAATGTTAAAGGAAGAGATTCTGGGCGTTTTCTGACTATCTTTCTTGAGAAGGATAGCAGGAAAAAAAAAGCCTGTAAGTTTTGCTACATGATGTTTCCCCCCCCCGC